GGGGAAGGAGGGGAAGAGGGGAAGAGGATACTGGGACAGGGCCTTGGTGATGGGGTGCAAGGGGTGGGGTGCCAGGTGTAGCGGGGGACAAACCGTTCTTGATTTTTTCTGAGAGCCACAACACGGAATGGAAGAAAGTGCCCAAATCAGGCTCCAACCTGCAACATCACCTCTTTTTTTTCTGAGCGCGCATTTGGTGCCAGATTCACCAATTGAATAAGCGTTCGCTGAAATTTACTCTGATATTCAATTTGGGAACGAAAAAGAAGAGGCACAATCAGCACCTCCTATCTTTTCTGCTAAAAAAATTCTACATTATAGTAGTGTACAATAGATGTGGGTACAGTGCACCCAGTGACGACCAGCATGTTCCTCTAACAACTGCACCATTGCCGGTGGACCTGTCCTTCACCCTTGGATTACCACATTCGTAACTATGTGGTTTTCGTGTCCTTGACTCTGGTCAGTAGCAACATGGCCTTACGCCAACCAGACGGTGGAGTTATCTCCTCGACCACGACATGATGCAGTAGCTGAGCAAAGAAAGACACGAAGCTTCTTCCTTCGATACATCTCGGAAGATGAGAGATCTTCCAAAGCATTTTTTGTTGAGTTGGCAAGCTTGGCTGAAGAGACTAACAAGGTTGCTTGAGATCATGGAGAACGGCATCAGCACGATCCGCCGCCGGAACCTGGTGATTTCCCCCACTCAAAACCTCCTGTGGCTGTTCGTTCCTTCGCACACCCCATACAAAAAGAAAGAGGATATCTGCCACCAGAAAACCTCTATGGCTGTGGTTCCTTCTCACACCCCATGCACAAGAAAAGAGTATTCTCAGCCTCAGATAACTTCACCAGATCTTGATGATGATTTCCTCCTGTCGCTGTTGGTTTCTTCATGCACTCCATACAAAAAGAGTATAAAGTGCGATCAACGAAACCGCTGATTTCCTCCACGATGCACGACCTCTGCAGCCGTTGCTCCTTCGTGCGCTGCATACGTAAAGAGCACCGCCACGACGGATGCCAGATCCGCTCCCAATCCATCAGCCTGAGATATGTCTCGACAAGGACCTGTTCCGGAAAGAATAGAACCTGATGGCGCAACCGCCGATTTCCTCCATGCAAGAGCTCTGCAGCGGTGGTTCCTTCATGCGCTGCATACATAAAGAGTACCGCCACAATTATGGATGTTAGATTCACTGCCATTCCATTGGGCTGAGATGCGCGTGGACAATGAATTGTTTGGCTAAGGACTGGCAAAGGATAGAACCTGATTACGCAGCTGTGACCGTTTTCGACGGGTTTCCGGCGTGTGGCCTCCGCTGTGACTTCCATCTTTTGGATGAACTGTTGCCCTGCTTTCCATCTTTTGCTGCCATGCAGGCAGACAGTATGTGGGTTTTCCAACTCCATATACTTCACACACAAATGGATGATACTTCTGAAGAGTCATCCATTTTTCGATGATACTTCTGAAGAGTCGTACGGTTTTTTCTTTTCTTTCCCCTAGGTATTTTAGAACTGTTGTACCTTACTCATCTGCTTCTGGTGGATTTTGAACTCAGCACCTGGTCTGTATTTCAACAGTTCCAGTTCAGGGGGGGTGTACCAACTGAGCTACGCCAGTTGGTTCTGAAGAGTTATCTTCACTCCGCATATCTTCGGAAATTCACATGCACAGGTCAGTAGTAGGGTCATTCAGAAAAAAAATTGTGCCTTTGAGGAGAAAATGGTGCCTTTGATTGGGTTTCTAATTTCTAAATCAAGCAGCACTAAGTGCGTACTACGCACAGCAGGATAATTTTCCACTGATAACTGGCCATATTGGTCGTCAGGGAAAGCGCGACTGCCTTCCCCCGAATAGAACATACGGTCATTATCCCTGTATCTAGACTGAAAGTTGCCCTGCATACAGGCATAATTCCCGTACGTTCTATTCGGGGGAAGACAGTAGTGTGCGTGAACATTGCCCAACTTACTGGAGGTTGTGAAAGACGACACATTGCCTCCATTTCACCTCTGAAAATGAGTCTGAATTTCTGAAAACTATTTCTGGGAAGTGTCGTTGAACCGCTTGTTGACGTCTGGGATGGACAAACTGATCCAATGGACAAACTGATCCTCAAAAAGGGAAAAGGAGTTGTTCCTTCCCACTGAACTTCTGCGACATTGTATCTTCGGCGTTCCACGAAAAGCCCACAACAACCCGTTGACGTTAATCTCTGCAGGTGTTGTTGCCCTTCTGGCGTCCACAACAACCCGTTGACGTTAATCTCCGCAGGTGTTGTTGCCCTTCTGGTGTCCACAACAACCCGTTGACGTTAATCTCTGCAGGTGTTGTTGCCCTTCTGGCGTTTCAACCACCAGTACATGGCCCCGGACAACTTGAGAAATACGATCCGTTCAGTCCAGAAAGTTCGGAGGCTCGGGGCAACCTGACCAAAATGGTGGACAGCGCCAAGCCAAAACGAAAACAAAAACGCGCAGGGGGAGAATCTGGCTCGTACAAAAGAGGCTCGGATGTACTGGTTGCTTAAGCCTGCTGTTTGAGGCTGTAGGGGCACAGCCAGTGTTTCGCTGTGGCCTTCCCACCCTACGTGACAGTTTCCATAGTAGCAACAAACCCTGACGAAGGAAGATGCTATGACGATAGCCTCCTATGTGCGGCTCTCTTCAGCAGTTGACGGTGCGGGCTGGGCATCTTAAGTAGTTCGTCGCCTGTTTTTTGAACCGGTTTGACCATCTTTAGAAGTGACATCGTCCGCAGTCGGGAAGCTTTGTGTTCATTCAGAGGCGCACTGGGGAAGGTGTAACAACAGCTCAGGACTGTGGCAACTAATCCAGGCAGTCGTAGTCGGCAGATCTCCGGTTCTTCGCTCAGAGACACAGCTGGAAAGGTCTATCAGTGAAGAAATGCACATTCTCCTGGCGGATGATGTTGTCGACCACCGTTGCCAGCGCAGTCATCCTCCGTAGACGCAGTTCCATGAGATCCTTTCTATCGTCTTCGCTTTCGAGGAACGAATCGCTGGACTGTGGCACGGTAGAATTACACAGGGGAGTAGGAGATGGTTCACAGCGTCTGTTCCTCCAGATGCGGCTTTTGTTCTCGCATTGGTTAGCAGACTCGGGCTCACTTGCTGTCGCTCGTTTCCTATTCGCCGAAAGGGTTGTGTGCTCTCCTTGTTTAGGCTTCTTTTTAGTTTGGAGTTTGTGAACAGCCCTCCTACGCTCAAATACCAGCTCCCCTGCATACCAAATGCCATCTGACTGAGAAGTCATTGTCTTCTTCCGCATCCGTGAGGACCTTCGTTGGGTTACTTCTTCGACACAGGGTCCAGAATGCTCACCGCTGTTTGCCACACTGGTCACATTACTGCTTTTGTCGTATGAGAGATCTGCTCGGGCCTTGGATCGATCTCCTTGCGATGACATCGAGACTCCAGAACATTTGCCACAGCTTGCAGTGCTTGGGGACATTGCCATGCAACTGCAGTCGCTCTCAGACTGGCAATTTCCCCATTCTCGCGACTCTGATGTCGTGTTGTCAATGCCCCCATCACAATGGCGGCCAGCCACAGATCCTGTTGAGCAACCTGTTGCTTCGTCGAAACTCGTTCCGAAACAATTCTCGGATGACGTTAAACGACACGATGCATTGCTTTTCATTGCACCAGCTTCACAAGAGACGCATGAATCTGTCGTCCTCCTACTCATCGGCGGTCCACAAGAGGGACTGTTGCACTGTTCATCCCAGTCAGCGCTGCCCGATTCTTCCATCCAACACTGCCTCTTCTTTTGACCTCTTTTCCGTACCGTCTGAACTTCTCTCTGAAGTAGAAGCGACGGCCGTTCAGTTTGCTTAGTGTCCATGTCAACCGACCATCTTTTCGCTGCCACAAAGACGACATCGTCATTCTCATCATCCATCATTCCTTGAAGGTTCCCACCGGCACGACCTGTCACACATTGCTCACCCCCTCTGCAACCTGCGGCTTCATGACTCGTAAGCCTCGCCTCGGCAGGCACATCATTGTCACCAGCCATTTCGGTACCCTGCAAAAACAAACAGGAATATGGCGAGGGAGGAGGGGGGCGAGGGAGGGAGTGTTTACGGGAAGATAAAAACATACAAAAACAGCCACAGGCTTAGCATTCATGAAGGAAAGTCACTTCGTATATGGAAAGCGAAGGAACTGTTATGCGACAACCAATATTGTCCATCTATTCGTCCAGCATGAGATAGATCAATACACACACAGTGATACTAGCATGCAGACAGATAGCATAGATGGCCCTAACATACACACTGGCATAGAGAGGCACAAAGAAAGAAAGGCAGAGCAGAACAACACATACAGAGAGAGCAATAGGCAGCTAGACAGATGTACATGCACGCACGCACACACACACACACACACACACACACACACACACACACACACACACACACACACACACACACACAATGGACGTACATCAGGAAGACACAGGAGAATATAAAGTTTCTACTTCTCTTTCTTTCAGTGTGTTGTCATGATCCAACCCTGTGTGGTACCAAGCCGGCGCTGTGTGGCCCGACAGGTGGATGCCTAAATCACTGCGACGATGACACAGTGTTCGAAAGTGAAGCCATACCAATTCTGGCATGCATTGCACCTCTGCACGGGTGCAGCATAATCACATGCTCCACCACACGACATGATTTAGGACCCTCCTGCTTGGCCGACATAGGCTCTAGCCACATGGCCACCTGGTCCAGCTCCACGGCTAGCTACCGCGACATACTACCGTTCAGTATTTTGTCGCAATCGACACCTGCAGAGAATCGAACGGGCGATATCTGGCTCAACAGACAGATGGCTTAAACAGCCAGTGCACAGCCCAAGCCTTCACCACCTACTCCTAAAGTTTTGGAGGCTTGGGGCTACCGGACCAACAATGGCTGGCGACGCCAGGCTAAATAGGAAAAAAATAGCATAGCTGGCGATTCAGCAAAGCTTGGCGCGCAGTGCCGTGCCACCAGCCCCAGGTGCGCTGGTGGCTTAACCACTGCAACCGTGACGTAGTGTTCAAGAGTGGAGACGTACTGGTGGTGATAAAGTTACACTAAGCCACCAGGGCTTCCTGAAAGTGCGGCCGTGCACATGCCTGTACTCACTGGGATGGACCAGACTGCCGCGCACGGATAAATTCATCCAAAACAAACCGCCTCGGGCCTCTCGGCACTGTAGCAATGGCTGCCGCATGCACAACCCCACTGACCACTGACATTCAGCATTTGAGCGAATGACAACTTGCTCTGTGGACAGTTGGAAAAGCAGATGAAACTCAGGAGCAAGACAATGGAAGAACGTCCTTCGGGACATCCGTTAAAATTGCAACGATACAGAGAAGATTAGCATGGCCCCTGCGCAAGGATGCCACACATAAATCGAGAAATGGTCCAAATTATTAAAAAAAAAGACAATGGAAGAACAGATGAAACTCAGGAGCAAGACATTGGCAAACACAGAGGTAACTCAGCAGCAGCCCATGAGCGAACCTTGAATTTGGCAGCATATACCATAGCCAAAGATCATAAATATGAGAAAGGAAGAAGCAAAGGATCCCATGGGGCAGTACAACTCTGTTTCGGAGACATGGGCAAAACAGTGGAAACTCAGCAGTGAGATAAACTCCCAAAGAAAGAATTCACCTTGAACCACCAGTGCACATGGAGCTGGAAATTTTCTCTCCCTGTCTCCCCATTCCTCCTCTCCGCTTCTCTCTGCCTCTCCTAAACAGTTCGCCTGGCTTGACTGGTGGCCAGCAGACTCCCACACACAGAATGAAGGTAAAGCGGCCTCTTACCATGCCGGTTGCTTTATCCATGAAGATAAAGCATTCTCTTTTTTTTTTTCTTTTTTTTAATAAAAACTATTGAAAAGGCCGACGGCCTTGAGATAGCATCATTGAACTGACCGGCCCCCGGTAATTCAGGATTATTTTATTCTGTCCATCATCTGTGTGTGAGGGAATTTGTTCACATGGAACAAATTCCAACTTGCTCTGTGCATAACTACTGGTAATGGCGGGGAGAGAAATCCTTCCACGCAGAGAATACCCTCAACACACACTACGTCGTACCAGATGGGAATGAGCATGGGACACAAATGGTGGGGCGGGGAACGCATCGAACATTGAGATTAAGCCAAGAGCTTTCAAAGGTGTCGATCGAGGCACGTTAGCGGAATTTCCAAATGCTTGCCCCACTCCGTCCGTAATATGTTTGGTGCGCCTTGATCCTTCACTTGCATCTGTTATTTGCACTTATTTCCTGCAGGTGCGAAGGTTATTCCCCGCCTTCACTGCACAAATTTTGATGGTTTCCAAAATAGCCAGCCGAATCCATAGGATTAGCATCCCAGGTGACCGCACTCAGCACACGGCTATCTGCCCTTTAGTACAGAGTCTACAGACACGTGCTGAGAGACACGTGAGGCAAGCAGAACAGGTTGTTGCGACTCGTCGATGCATTAATTTAGCACATATAAGAGGGCAAGTAGGGAACCGACCTGGATTCGTAGCAGTACACGAGGGAGGAGTGAGTTGGAACAAGACGACGGACGACGGTTTTTGGGCGAGAGAATAGCAGCCCAGTTTTGAATTTGACTGGTTGTTGGGGCAAGAATGGGGCAAGAATGGGGCAAGCGCCCACAAGTAGGTACGGCGAAGCTGGAAGCAGGGTGTACGTGGCACATCAAGGTTGTTAGAAACTTGTTACAAGTGGGCAGCGAGTCCTCCCGTGTCAGTAAACGGGCTTCAGAGTGGGCTGCATGCAAAGGCTCTGACCAGTGATTGAACAAGCGTGACGAATCAGTGAGGAAGAGCGGCGATAGGTACAGGCCAAGCGTGTGGGATGGTAGAGGCCCGAACTCGGCCCCCAGAGGAGAGGCAGTTAATCTTGAGTACGAAGTTCCTTGCTGCACGTCTACTACAATAGAGGGCAAGGCCCGGCAAGCCCTTTGGCCCTCGGTACTCAATGGTGTAATGCTTGGTGGAGGCCGACAGGCTTGCTTGTGCATTGCGTCCTGAGGATGACTGACACGCGACCGATCGAAATGTCCCTCGAGGGTGTGCGGGTCCTGAGTTCATGGAAAATGAAGTGATATAAATGGTTTTCCCTCGAGTCATGTTCAGAAGCACGTGCATACCCATTGCTTTTCTTTCTTCAAATCACACCCTTGTCCATGAATACGAGTCACAGTTTTGTGAGACAGTTTGGCCCCACCATTCATTGAGAGCCCAGCCAGGAAATCAGCATCTCAGATTGTGGATGAGTTCAGTCGCTCGTATGACAACACGTTGGTGCTGAACAGAACGCTATGGGAAAAGATGATGGGACGTTCTTCTCATAAGGGATACTATTAACTATAGAACCGTCCCAAATCTTGCGTTGGCATAAGGGAAAACGGCAACGGACTGACTTTTCGGACCCTCCGTGATGTCAGTGTAAGCTAAGGTCAAAATACCTTTCTCCGCCTTTTCGCTAAGTAAGATCAAGTGCACTGTATCTGTTCTGATCAGTTAATATCTGATCCGCGGTCCATTGGGCCACATAAAAAAAGAAAAAAGAAAAAAAGATTAAGCTAAGATCCGCAGCAAAGTCACGTTGTAAAGACAAAGCTGGCTAGAATGAGATGTCGAGGATGCTCTTCTGACACGGAAACAGGAAGTTCGCTGGCATGCATATGCATAGAAGAACTTTAAAAGAGGACTCTGGAACCTTGTCAGCGAGGCTTCAGTGAGCATGTAGCAAAACTTCACCGAAGCTGGTTTTCAGCGGAGAGGCACAGCACAAACAGAGGAAAACATGGTATCTACAGAGCGGATGGCGAAACACCCATGAAGACAGGAACAAATTGTAGAGTAACCAGGTGGAAGCACATAGGATGGTAATTGATAACTCTACCACTCTTCCGGGCAACGAGTAACGCCCCTTGACAAGGCTGGTAGCTGGCCCCAAGGGAGACATGTAGTGGCTGCCAGCACTCCCACCAGCGGGCAAGGAACCGATCTAGGCATCGATTCCCCCCCCTTCCCCCCCACCMCCTTCTTCACATTTGGACCATTTCTTGATTTATGGGGGCCATCCTTGTGCAGGGGCCATACTACTGGTTCCAATTTTAACGGATGTCACGAAGGACCTCTAGGCATTGATATCTACATATTGACACTCGTCATTTACTTGTGTGGATCGCAACTTTCCTTGTGGCTTGTACGTTGCCACTACCTTCTCTCTTGGCGATGCCATGTTCGTTTTTGTATTGGATAAGATAACACCTGTAATCAAAATACAAACTCCTCCATGTGACAAAATCATATATCTCGAGACATATGGGACCAAGCATGAGGACAGTTGCATGCACATGAGCCGCAAGTGGATTTCAATTCAAGACCTCCAATGTGGTCCTGTTCCACGAATCGCCACATGACAATATGGGTCCTTCCCCCTCCACCTCCACCTCTAAAAGCCTCCAGTGCAGCCTGGAGAACTGACGAGAGTTCACAATTCTTCTCGCATTTGCTCGCACGTGTTATGAAAATGACCAGAAAGACTCAGGAAACGAGCTACATTACCACTTTGGCGGCTTCGACCTCTCAGGATGCACCGTGGTGTGCGGTACATCTGTGCTGGGATTTTTAGTCTGTGATTAGTTGCTTGTCTGGCGGTGAGGAAATTTGTTAATCCGTCGAATAGAAGGGAGCCCAAAACTATCTCCCCGGGTTCAGAAACGTCAGGACTATCCCTGTCATAAGGTACTGCACAGACCACATGGTCAGGTGAGTAATTCTGATGACTGCAATGAAGCAGATGTTCAGGTGAGTTCTCACTAGGCTCCCCTCCAAGTCTCAAAACTCAAGAAATGGCAACATAATTCGCAGTGAACTAGGCTGTCTAGGCTAATTCTCACTGCCAATGAAATGCCATCACAGCCACTTACACAGGGATGCCCTCTGGCCCCAGTCCTCTTCATGGAGCCTGGAAAGAATGTTACTGACCATCAGAATCAACCCTGTCATTAAAAGACTGAGGATGGCACTGAGCTTAGTAGAAAGCGATTTGCCGATGGTGCACTGGGTTGTGTAGGACTCGGAGGGCATGAAACACCACACTTGTACATTGCA